GTTAAAATGCTACCATCCCTACATTGTCTCAGGATTTTAAGGGTTAAAGTATTCCTTTACTCTGAGGCCTTTGGTGCAGATTCAGTCTCCTGTACATTTCAGCCAGACTGAGGTAAAGTCTTGTTCTCTGGGCTTCCATTCGATATGCCCTATGTCCCAAAGAGTGGATGAGGAAGGATGCCAAAATGAACATATCCTGTCACTGTATGTGACGGGAGGGGGGAGGGGAGAGTGAACTCAGGAATCAAGTATTGTTTATTCCAGCTCTTAACTGTTGCAGGGAAAGTAGCAAAAGCTGCCAGCAAAGTGCCCTCTTGCAGCATCAAAGGATGGATAAACATTGGAGTTCCTGGCCAGCAGTCAGACGGTGCTTTCAGAAATGGATTGGCTTCTCAAAGAATACAGGCTTGAGAGGAAGAGAGGAAACACAAACTAAGCAGATGAAGAGGGAGCTGGAGGCTTGTGGAGACAATGCTTGGAGGGAGCAAAAGAAGTTTGAGGTGCAAGGATTTTGCTGTAATTTTGCCTTTCTGGTGTTACTGTCTCACCTGACCTGAGAGGATCAGAGAATTTTGGTTAAGAATTTTTTTTAGGAAGAATGCATTTGATTAGTAACACTACACTTACAGCTCAACTGTGTTAATGTTTTGCCTATGCCTTCGAGGCAGAGCTCAGCATTGGGTCCTTGTCACATGCATTTGCATTTTGTTTTTTCATTTGTATACAGAACACTTGGTTTGTTAATCTCCAATGTCCTTTTTTTCCTGGATAGAACAAAGAGGTAAGCAGGTGCCTTTTGATGCCTAAGCATTCAGAGATTTAGAAGTAGCCATAAACACATTTACCCTGGTGTGCATTGCATCAGACTTAATGAGTCTCAGTTCTGAATACATGCATTGCTACAATACATGGGTTTTGGGGGGAGCAAGCCCTTTAAAGTTCAGCAGACTGACTTCTGATGAAACAGGCTTGGGCTGCGTGCATCTAATGGCTTTATGATTTTGCCAATTCTTCCTTTTTGATATTCCCCTGCCCCTCAAGAAAATTACTCATTTGAAGAAGAGAGTTGAAAGTATGACTGATTATTCTTACCGCTTCTGAATGCAAAGAAGTTTAGTTTGTATCTAGGAAAACCATCTGTTTAAAACCGTGACTGTATTTTACTTGATAGTATGCTGTTGCTCACTCTGTCATTGACTGTGATGCTTTCACACATCCATGATGCAAGACATTCCTGGCTTCCGTCTTACAATTGCATGCACTGCAAAGTTTGAAGTATTTATATGTCACAATAGAGGATGTTAGTAGAATTTCTCAACAGCTGTGGTTCAGCATCTCTTGCATTGGTGTGCTCTTACAACCAATAGAACTATTCCCCCATAGTTTGCTTAAGAGTCAGCATTCATTTCCGTATATGTTCAGAATCCTTCCTTGTAAAAAATCTCCTGTTTACTTGAATATTATTTTCCTGCGGTTATTCGCAGTTTAACTTTGATAATTGATATAAAAATACCATGTGAATGATCTCTTCTGTAGGAAAAATGGGGCAGCTGGGGAAAGTACATTGAAAATTGATCTGCAGAATAATCCAATGCATGCCTGTCCCATGTTTTAAAATAAAAATCGCTGTCGGGTTCAGTCGACCTAGAAAAATATTTGGTGGCAGCTTAGTGTAACTGTGTGACAAACCCAGACCTACTGGGATATGTCACACAGTTACACTAAGCTGCCACCAAATATTTTTCTAGGTCGACTGAACCCGACAGCTTTTTTCTTTCATCTTACTAATAATAGTTTATTTTGTTCTTACTTTTTGCTGGCTTACACTGTATTCTGTAAATCTGTAATTCAAGACTAAATATATTTCAAATGGCGTATGTAACTCTTGATACTTTTAGCATGGACTGTTCTTGGAAAAATGATGTATATCTTTATATCAAAAAAGCTATTTTTAGTCCAGGTACTAACCTGCTAGGTGATATGCCTTGCAGTATGCCAGTTTTTCAGTGTGGGATAATCAAGAAATGTTGCTTTTTCATGACATTTTGTAGTTTTAATTTCTTTGTCATTAAGTCGTGTCCGACTCTTCGCGACCCCATGGACCAGAGCACGCCAGGCCCTCCTGTCTTCCACTGGCTCCCGGAGTTTGGTCAAATTCATGTTGGTAGCTTCAATGACACTGTCCAACCATCTTGTCCTCCGTCATCCCCTTCTCCACTTGCCTTCACATTTTCACAATATGAGGGTCTTTTCCAAGGAGCATTCTCATGAGATGGCCAAAGTAGTGAAGCCTCAGCTTCAGGATCTGTCCTTCCAGTGAGCATTCAGGGTTGATTTCCTTCAAAATGGACAGGTTTGTTCTCCTTGCAGTCCAGGGGACTCTCAAGAGTCTTCTGCAGCATCACAGTTCAAAAGCATCAATTCTTCGGTGGTCAGCCTTCTTTATGATCCAGCTCTCATTACCATACTGGAAAAACCATAGCTTTGACTATACAGACCTTTGTCGGCAAGGTAATATCTCTGCTTTTTAAGACGCCGTCTAGGTTTGCCATCGCTTTCCTTCCAAGAAGCAGGCATCTTTTAATTTAACGGCTGCTGTCGCCATCTGCAGTGATCATGGAGCCCAGGAAAGTAAAATCTGTCACTACCTCCATATCTTCCCCTTCTGTTTGCCAGAAGGCAATGGGACCAGTGGCCATGATCTTAGTGTTTTTTATGTTGAGCTTCAGACCATTTTTTTCGCTCTCCTCTTTCACCCTCATTACAAGGTTTTTAAATTCCTCCTCACTTTCTGCCATCAGAGTGGTATCATCTTTATACAAGTTAAATAAATACATAAATAAATATCTGAGGTTGTTGATATTTCTTTCGGCAATCTTAATTCTGGCTTGGGATTCATCCAGTCCAGCCTTTTGCATGATGTATTCTGCATAGAAGTTAAATAAGCAGGGAGACAATATACAGCCTTGTCGTGCTCCTTTCCCAATTTTCAACCAATCAGTTGTTCCATATCCAATTCTAACTATTGCTTCCTGTCCCATATATCTCTGGTTTTTTCCTTTATATTATTTCCCTCTATTTCTTTGCACTGTTCACTTAAGAAGGCCCTCTTGTCTCCTTGCTATTGTTTGGAAGGCTGCATTCAATTTGCTGTAACTTTTCCTATCACTCTTGCATTTTGTTTCCCTTCTCTTCTCTGCTATTTGTAAGGCCTCATTGGACAGCTACTTTACTTTGTTGCATTTCCTTTTCTTTCGGATGGTTTTTGTTGCTGCCTCCTTTAGAAAGTTATGAGCCTCCATCTAAAGTTCTTCAGGCACTCTGTCCACCAAATCAGGTTCCTTAAATCTGTTCTTCACTCCCACTGTGTATTCATAAGGGATTTGGTTTAGATTATATGTGACTAGCCCAGTGATTTTTCCCACTTTCTTCAGTCTAAGCTTGAGTTTTGCTATAAGAAATATAGCAAAATTTCAGCCTCTTAAGCATCGGTGGTTGGTGCATAAACTTGGATTACTCTGATGTTGGATTCGTATTGAAATCATTCTATCGTTTTTGAGATTGTATCCCAGTACAGCTTTTCCCACTCTTTTGTTGACTGTGAGGGCTACTCCATTTCTTCCAAGGGATTCTTGCCTACAATAGTAGATATGATAATTGTCTGAATTGAATTTGTTCATTTTAGTTCACTGATGACCAGAATGTCAATATTTATTCTTGCCAACTCCCGTTTGACCACATCCAGCTTACCAAGGGCCATAAAACTACAAAATGTCATGAAAAAGCAACAGGTTCCTATGCAGTATTTTTTCTTTGCAGCATCCGACTTTCCTTTCACTTCCAGGTGCGTCCGCAGCTGAGCATCCTTTCGGCTTTGGCCCAACCACTTCATTAGCTTTGGAGCTACTTGTACTTGTCCTCCACTTTTCCTCAGTAGCATGTTGGATGCCTTCCGACCTGAGGGGCTCATCTTCCAGAATCTTATCTTTTAGCCTTTTGTTTTTGTCCATGGAGTTGGCAAATATACTGGTGTGCCTTGCTAGTTCCTGCTCCTGGTGGATCGTATTTGGTCAGAACTCTCCACTATGAACTGTCCGTCTTGGGTGTACCTGCATGGCATAGCCCATAGCTTCTCTGAATTACTCAAGCTCCTTCGCCATGACAAGGCAGCAATCTGTGAAGGGGTTTAATTTCTATATACTGTATATACTCAAGTATAAGCCTAGTTTTTCAGCACAGTTTTTTTTGCTGAAAAAGCACCCCCTCAGCTTATACTTGAGTCAGTGTCAAAATTACATGTTCGCCCCTGCAGTGCAGGTGTTCTCTGGACTCCCTCGCTCATCTATGGGCACCTGCAGCCTCTGTGGTTGGTCTGATGTCCCGGGTTAAGTACACTGCATTTCAGCTTCCAGGACACTCCCATCCTCCTCCTTCTGCATATTCTATGTACCCACCCTCCTCCTCGATCCTCCATCTCCCTCCATCTTGTTACACAACAGTAGAGCAGTAGAGGAGCGCAACATCTGGTATGAGTCCTCCCTCCGCAGGCAGTGAAGTGTGTCTCGCAGCTCAGAAGGGCAGTATCTTCAAAAACATTTAACCTACTGATGTCTCAATGTAATTTTTTTATTGGTATCTTTTATTTTTGAAATTTACCAGTAGATGGTGCATTTTCCACCCTCGGCTTATACTTGAGTCAGTACGTTTTCCCAGGGTTTTTTGTGGTAAAATTGGGTACCTCGGCTTATATTCGGGTTGGCTTATACAGTGGTGCCCCACAAGACGGGCACTCCGTTTAACGACAAAACTGCTTGACATGTTTGCAATCGCAAAAGCGATCGCAAAATGATGTTCCCTATGGGGGAATTTCGCTTTGCGATGATCGGTTCCCTGCTTTGTACTCGAGTATATACGGTATATATAATTTATATATATATATATTTCTTTCCTTCAATTTTAACATTTTTCTTCCTTTTTTAATTTTATTTTTTTTACATTAGGAGCGCCAGCGTCTGGAAACAATTCTTAACTTGTGCGCAGAATATTCCAAATCTGACAGTGACCCTGCCACTGTTACAACTGTAGCTGATGTTCAGAAAATTAATAAAGAACTTGAAAAGCTCCAGCTGTCTGAAGAAGATTCAGTATTTGAAGACTCTCAGATGACACTGGAAACCAGATTCAGAAACCACTTCCACCCACCTGCTGGAGAGTCTGATTTCTCTGAATTCAGTGATTTTGGGCAAAATTCTGTTGGCTTTTTTTCCCCTGGTGGGATTAGGACCAATAAACATGTAACTGATAACAGGACAAGTTCACCTCTACCTTCTTCTCCCTTCCTGATGAATGTCAATGAATCTTCATACCTAAGCATCATGTCAAAGGTAATGGCAATGTCTTCTGTAGGAAGAGCTAGTTGTAAACCCTGTTCTGTGTTGGCACAATTTGTTTTTACTAAGAGAAAAATTATTCAAAGCTCTGATCATCTGTGGATGTAGGATGGTGTTCTAAGTTCTGTCTCAACAGCTGTCTGTTTAGTATCCTCACAATCCAGAGACTTGGTACCTTTTGCTTCTCTGTATAGTAGCCCATTTCTCTTAATGGTCAGGTTCCAGAGTAGTTTATACCTGAGTACTAGCACTAAAGAAGGAGTGGAGGAGGCTCTGTGTGATTTCCAACTATTGACATGATTTGGCCAAATACTTGGCCTTCCACGGAAGGGAGCAGCAACAGAGAAGGCTCTCTCTTGTTTCCCCACCAAACATGCCTGTGAGGGTGGTGGGACTGAGAGAAAGGCCTCTCCTGATCACTATAATATCTCAGCAACCTCAGAAAAGGAAATACAGTCTTACAGATAGCTTGGACCCAAGCTGTTTGTGGCTATATACACAGATAAAACCAGCACTTTGAATTGTGCCCAGAAGTGGAACAGCAGCCAGCGGAGCTGCTGTAACACACGGGTTATATGACCCCTGTAACCAAACCCAGTTAACTATCTGGCTGCAGCGTTTTGGACGTGCTGGAGTTTCTGAACACCTTACAAAGGCAGTCCCATGTAGAGCACATTACAGTAATGCAGCCGATAAGATGAGACCTCAAGGAACAGCTGCAGCTGGCACACTAGTTTTAACTGTGCAAAGGCACTCCTTCCTGGCCAATGCTGTTTAGGGCTGGTTCATCCAGACTGAGAGATGAATGCAGAAGCATACCCAAGCTGTGCACCTGTGTTCTCAGAGGGAGTATAACCCCGTCACAGGCTGGATCCCTGTTCCTTGAACTACCTTTTGGCTGACCAGGAGCACCTCTGTCTATCTGTCACAGGCGGGATCCCTGTTCCTTGAACTACCCTTTGGCTGACCAGGAGCACCTCTGTCTTGTTTCAGTTTATTTGCCCTCATCCAGTCCATTACTGACACCAGACACTGAGCTATAACTGAAAGAGCTTCCTTGGATTTAGAGAGGAGAGATAGAGTTGGGTGTCATCTGTATACTGGTAACAGCGAATCCCGAAATTACACACAACTTATCCCAGGGGTTTCATGTAGGTGTTAAATAACATAAGGGGTAAAGCAGAACCCTAAGGGACCTTAGGGACTAGCGGCCTGGTGTCAAACAGGAGTCCCCAGCACTATCTTCTGATTTCTGCCCTCCAGGAAGAGCCACTGTGGAACAGTGCCTTCAAGATCTGTCCCAGTGAGACAGGCTAGAAGGATGCCATGGTTGATCATATTGAAAGCCACTTAGAGGTCCAGCAGAATGAACAGAGGCACACCTGACCAGTTCCCAGTACAGTGGTGCCTCGCTTAGCGATCGCTCTGTTGAGTGACGAAATCGCTTAGCAATGGACTTTTTGCCATCGCAAAAGCGATCGCTTAGCGATGGTCCCTATGGGGAAAATTCGCTTTGTGATGATCGCCGGGAAGTGATCATCACAAAGTGCCCATTTTCAGCCAGCTGATTGGTGGTTTCAAAATGGCCAGCGGAAAAACAAAATGGCCGGCCGCTGTTTTGCCTCGCTTAAGAGGCAGCGAAAATGGCAGCGCTATGGTGGATTTTCACTGACAGGTAAGTTTTTAAGCCCATAGGAACACATTAAACACGTTTTAATGCATTTCTATGGGCTTTTTAAAATCGCTTGGCAATGAAATCGATTAGCGACGTTTTTCCTGGAACGGATTAACGTCGCTAAGCGAGGCACCACTGCATATGTCATCAGCCAAGGCAACCGAAACAGTCTCTGCCCCATAGCCAGGCCTTCAGCCAGATTGAAATGGATTTAGATATTCCATCTCATTCAGAAAACCCTAGAGCTCAGAAGCTACAACCTACTTTAGCACTTTGCCCATGAATAAAACGTTAGAGACTGCTTGGTAGTTATCCAGTACCGTGGGGTCCAAGAGGGCATTTTTTTCACCAGTGGTCTTACCAATGCCTACTCTAAGCATGCTGGAATCCTACCCTGCTGCAAGGAGGCATTCACTACTCCTCCTACCCACTCAGTCCAGCTTCTCTCTGGCAGCTTTTATAAGCCAGGAAGGGCACGGGTCCAATAGATATGTGGTAGCCTTCACCTCTCTAAGGGTCCTGTCCACATCATCAGGCTGCAAAAACTGAAACATATCCATTAACACAGGACAAGCTGTGGCCATAGTTACATTTGTAGGACCTGCATGAACAACAGCATCCAAGTCAGAGCCGATCTGAGCAATTTTGCCTGCATCAGTTTAATTTGAGGATGACGGAGCAGGGGCATTGTCGTGATTATTGGCAGTTGTTAAACTCTCTGTAAATCACCCATAGTATTTCCGGCAGCTCTAAGATCTGTTTGTCACAGAACTGGAATGACTTTTGAGGTGCTTTCCAGTTCCTTGAATTCAAGGACTGCAGTCTTGCATCTCTATCATTCATACTCCTTCCCTTTGATTAAGCAGGGGGTCTTGTTTTAGCAACTAGGAAGATGAAATTCAAGATGCAGGATCGGTATTAGCTACACAAGATGCTTGTGAAAAGGCAGCTTTCCTGCTAGGATTACTAGGTCTAATGAGGAATGCAGTTCATTAAAGAGGGCCCTCTGTCATAATGGTGATAACAGCAGTAACAACAGTCACTTGAATGAGCTCCATTACTTGTTCTAAAATGCCATGGGTTCCATACAAATTGTATTGGTTAATTAAGGCCTGATAGAAGGACATATGGTTTAATGATATAAAGCATAGGACTGAGAACAGGAAGGAAGGCACAGATGTAGCTGTAATACTGAGAATGTTGCTCCTGACCTTATGAAAACAAGTTGAACTCCAAAGAGCAAAACTCATATTCTGTTAGTCTCTACAAGATTAAATCTCATGGGGAAAAAAAAATCTCACAATGGGGTTTAACTCCCTAAAAATGTACTTCTGACCATGTATAGGTTTGCAGCATCTGTTTCTGTGCTACATTTTAAAGGAATTTAATACAGTAAATATTTCTCTAAGAAACAAACACTATGTTTGTCGGTTGTTGTGGGTTTTTCGGGCTCTTTGGCCGTGTTCTGAA